TCTTTTTATATATATTATTTCATTGTATTATTTTTAAGTTTCCTTTTTTTTTTTTTTTTTTTTTCAATTTAAAATGTCTTATTCTTTTTTTAATAAGTACATGAATAATTGATATTAATAATTTAAATATAAGAAGGAAATGTGTGCAAGCACAGATGGGGATGCGCGCACGAGAGAGTGTGGATACATGTGTGTGTTGTGTGTGAAGGGCGCGGGTACATTTTGTTTAAACGTAGAGAAGTATACATTTATATATGTACGCATCAGCAGGGGGTCATTCAATTTTTAAATGCGCAGGCGACGATTTAAAAAGGTGTGGAAGACATAAGTGGTGTGTCCTGCTGTGTCCGTCGACGCTTTGGTGCGCGAGCATAGGAAGATAAATATATACATATATATATATATGTATATATGTGTGTATTATATAGATCTACACTCGTGGCTGAGCGTAGCTTGGCTGAGGGAGGTGAGCCATATGATATACGAGCGACATGCGTGAATGATATCTTTGAAGAAATTTCTTGGGTGTTCAAAAAAAAAAAAAAAAAAAAAATTTAAACTATGTAAACAATTTTGAAAAATTATATACTTATTATATCGACGTATAGACGCGTTGGAAGCGTTGGAAGTTGTGTGTAGGCGTTATTGGTACGTTTGCGCATTGGAGCGCAGACGGGAATGTATGGTGCATATGTGCATGCGTACATGAGGCAGGTGTGCAAAAACAATCTCTTAAACAAATTTGAATTAAAAAAAAATTGGGTGAACTAAATTAAAACATATATATCAAAATTTTATGTGGCATATTAATAAGTTTATATTTTACAATTGAAATGCTGAGAGCTCCAGTGTTGCTGCTTTCAGTTAGCAGCCTTTTTTTTTTCGACTGGCTTTAAAATCTGCGAGGGAAAAGGAGGTATGCGCAGATGCACGGGTGTGGGAATGTCCATGTGCGCCGTGTTATGCGTATAACAGGCGCGTGAACGTGCAAGCGGAAACAACGCCGTTATGGTTTATTCGTTATTTCGACTCTCTCTTTTTCAATTTTTTTCTTACTTGAAATGAACACATCAACGTTTCGTCGACACTCATCATGGCACCGGCATTATCAAATTCTCCGCAATAGTTGGGAGCAGAAAACAAGGTAACTAGCTGTCTTTTCGCGAAAAACTCGTAGCCGTCTTCCACCACCTGTAGGGGCAATGTAGGGACAACGTGGGGGCAAATGGGTGTAAGTTTCTTTCAACTTCTGGAGGGAAGAATCACGTTCACAAAGCACACAGAAATTACAGCGCACGTCTGCAAACGGGCGCTGCGCGTACCCGTCCACACCACATTGTGCTGACTCCACATTACCTGATGCGCTCTGCATATCAAGTCCAACTCATGCTTTCTTAAAAAATTGTGAACTACATCTTGGCCAAACGTGAACGAAACTCCTCGGTCGTTTTCTCCCCACCCGTTTATTTCCTTTTCCGGGTCGGACCATAATAAATCACACAGGAGGCCTGTATAGGGGGGGGGGGGAAAGGAATGGTGGAATATGAGTACAAGAATAGATAAAACAACAAGCACGTAAAAAAGGTGGACATGCACATACACATGTACATATGAGTCTGCGTGAAGAGGGCGGGGCCAGAACAAAATCAAGCAAAGGCAACGCGGAATGGCCCCAAATGAACAACTCATCGCACACATTTTTAAAGAGCAAAAATGTTCTGCTCTTTATTCACAAATGGAGAAAAAAAATTCTGAACAGGCAATATTTTTTTTGCAAAAATTGCACACACACAAAAAAAAAAAAAAAAAAGTAACAAGCTAGCCATTACGATAGCGTTTTCAATCATGGTGGCAATGCTTTCCATTTGCCAACTCTCGGTGGGCTCCTGACCGCTGGCCCATTTGTCTATCTCAAGTTTACCATTGTCGGGGACATCCGTTGGCCTGGTTATCTTCCTAATCTGTTCCATATTATTTAATTCAGGCGACAGTCCGCCATGCATACAAAAAATTTTTTCATCAATTATTGCCGCAACGGGGAGACAGTTGAAGCAATCGATAAATGTTTTCCATAATTTTACACTGTATCTTCGTTTACACTCATCGTAAAATCCGTATATTCTGTTTATCGAGGCACATTCGTGATTTCCTCTTAGTAGAAAAAAATTTTCAGGATATTTTATTTTGTAAGCTAGCAGTAAGCAAATGGTTTCTAGGCTTTGTTTACCTCTATCCACGTAATCTCCTAAAAAATGGGGAGCGCACAAAATAAGTAAATGAGGGTAGACAAATATGTGCACTCGTGTGTGTGAAAACATCCGCATGAGGTACACGCTAGAAAAGTGTTTTATGGAGAATTTCTCCACTTGGGAAATGAAAATGCAACGTGTACACAAAAACAAGTGAGGTGCTGTTAGGAATTATCTCCTAGTGCAATCGAAATTTCTCCATGTGCACATTGGTTGGTATAAGAAAATGCAGCACCATCATTGCGTGTATGCACGCGCGCGCGATAACTGGACCGCTGTACTGGTCAATTCCGCCACTGCTCAATGGCTCCAATGCCTCATCGCAAATCTTACCCAAAAACAAATAATTGGCATCCGGCGGAAAGCCGCCATACTCGAAGAGCCTTAGCAAGTCATAAAACTGGCCGTGAATGTCTCCACATATTTTTATCGGTGCCTCGAGCTCCAGTAATATAGGTTGGTTAAGAAAAATTTCTCTGCTGGAAAGGCATAATATTTTTATCTCATTTTCTGTCAAGTTAACATTTTTGCCTGGTCTTGTGCCTCGAACTTCTATTAGCTTTGATATTACATTATCTATATCTATTTCTAATGCCATAATAAATGTTTACTTAAGCGAAATTGAATATATCTCCTTGGAATGACGAACTGGCACTTCTGCTTACAATATTTTTTGTTAATCATGAAGAATGTATTTTTTTTTTTTTTTTTTTTTTTTTTTTTTTTTTTTTTTTTCCCTTTTCTTCTTCCCTTTTAAAAAGCTCTACTCCTTGCAAATGAATTTTTCTTTACCCTTCGCAATTTTTTTTCTTAATGCTTTGTTTAATTTCAGTTGTTTTAATGGTATTATTTTTATTATTATTTTTAATTTTTTTTTTTTTTTTCTAAATTAAATGATTTAAAAGATTGTTAATTTGCACCTACGAAGAAAACATATGTCAATATGTTAAATTTTAATTTGCACGAAAAGCTAAAGTGTTATGTGT